ATATTTAGTCTTTGTCCCTGGTTCATGGCACACAGCTCCTAAAATCCTTGGAAATACAAATAATAAGAGTATGATCATATGCTAATGAGATGACTCCTGGTGGGGCCTTCTAGATAGCTTCAGGATGGGAACTATGTACCAGAAAACCAACCATGTGATTAGAGGATTAGAACTTTCAGATGCACCCCACCCCCAACCTCTGGGGCAGGGAGAGGGGCTGGAAATTGAGTTCAATCACCACAGGCCAATGACTTAATCAATTACACCTAGGTAATGAAGCCTAAGTAAAAATTCTTGAACAAGATTTGGGGAGCTTCCAGACTGGTGAACACATCAAGATGTTGGGAGAGTGACCCACTAGAGAGGGTATGGAAACTCTATGTAAGACCTCCCCCCGTATCTTGCCCTACGCATCTCTTTCATTTGACTGTTTCTGAGTTATATTCTTTATAATAAAACTGTAATTGTATAGTGGTTCCCATGAGTTCTGTGAGTCATTCTAGTCAATTATCAAACCTAAGGGCAGGGAAAGTTGTAGGAACTCCCAGCTTTGTAGTCAGCTGGGCAGAAACGTAGTAGCCTGGGGATCCCATTTGCGGTATGTTTCTAAAGTGGAGGCAGACGTGTGGGATTGAGCCCCTAACTTGTGGCATCTGTGCTAAATCAGAGCAGTCAGTGTCAGAACTGAACTGAATTGTGGTTAGTTGGTGTTGGAATGACATATTTATCAGGGAAAAAAACCCCACACAACTCCTAATTAGTCTGTAGACAGCAGCTCAAACATCACCTCTTGGGAACACTTTTCTTGCTCCCAAGACTAGCTCAGACCCTGATTTTCCTTTATACTGCATATAAAGAGTTAATCATGCAATTATTTGATAATATCTGTCTCATCAATTAGAATATAAGCTTCATAAGGGCTTGTCTTTTGTTGAGTACAAGTCATGCGTTGCTTAACGACAGGGACACATTCTGAGAAATGCATCGTTAGGCGATTTCATTGACAAATAAAAATGGCAAGCAATAGGATATATTGGAGTATATGAGGAAGCCATTTGGTATAAACCTAATTCGGCCTGCCTTCTCTTTTTTTCCTCCAAAAGGGCCTGACTGGCTATTGAGCACGCATTGCATATCTGCTTAGACATTTCCTATGGCCAGAACAAAGGCCCTTGTGATAAAGATGCAACTTCCCCCCCACATTAGCATTTTTCCTTAGGCTAGGAACTGATTGCTGCACTCACCTCCCAGCTCACCTGTGACCACCCAGCTGGAGACAAGAGACTGCCACCCTGCTGTGTTCACCGAGACAGAAGACCTACCTGCTATTTCCATCAATCGGCTGTGCCGACAGAGTAGTCTCGCGACTATTGTAAAAGGGACATTCCAATCATATGTGAAACATCCTCTTTGAGGGTATATAACGACCCTGTATACCCCCCCCCCCCTCTTTGGAGTGCTCTGTTCCTTTGTGGAAAGACTCTCCCGGGTTATAATCCTCAAATTTAAGCTCAGAATAAACTCACCCAAATTTTCATTTATAGATTGGATAGATTATTTTCGTCGACATCATCATTGTGCAAACATCATAGAGTGTATTTACACAAACCTAGATGGTATAGCCTGCAACACACCTAGACTATCTTGTACTAATCTTATGGGACCCCCATAGTGTACGCGGCCCATTGTTGACTGAAAGGTTGTTATACAGTGCACGACTGTAGTTGTTATTTGTTCCTATATTTTTAATTAAATATCCAGAGCTAGAGATCCTCTCTTATTATAGGATTGTTGCGAGGATTGAAAGAGTTAATATACACAATGCACTTTCACATATTAAGCACTACATAAGTGTTTGCTATTATTATTGCTCATCTTTAAGTGTCTGCAGTTCTCAAAATAAATAGGCCACAAATATGTCACGGCAAACAGTTTGTACATAAATTATGTTAAAATTAGCTGTAGAGTAAAATTCCATATTATAGGTTCATTTTCAGAACATCTTTTTATTTCCTTCAAACAGCATCAAGCTAAAGGACTACTTCAGGTCTGGCTACAGAAAAGTATCTGAATAAAGTGTATCTGAATAGAGTGAACCGTGTAACGCTATCACAGGCAAGAGCCTGTTGCCCAGAATTGGATGAAGTGAGGCAGAAATCCCTTCCAGGAAAACTCATGCCTTAGTCTTAAATTTATCTAGATACGATATAAGCAAGTAAAAGATGTTTACAAACAAGCAAAATATTGAAACAGAGGGTAAAGGATTACTTTAGATTCGAAGTTTATGGCAGCTTTTTCCTCTTTAAATCTGTATAGATAGTTTATAAACTTAGGGACAAGATAAAATCACCAACTAAAAACAATTGGGAAAGCCAGTATGAATTAGTAAATACCTATAATCACTTAAATCCAAATATAGTCAAGAACTCAGCCTTGCTTTAGAATCTATCAGAGGTCTTCAGGAATCATTTTAAGAGACTGCCTTAAAATCTCTTTATTTATACGTAAGCACATGTTTTAAATCAGGATATTTTCACAAGGCACAAACACTCCACTTCAGGGTAACAGCATAGTACTTGGTCAATAAACCTCTGTAAAATGAATTCAAGGCTTCAGCACCCTACATTTCCTGGATGTTTGCTTTCTGCCAGTCATGAAGTCACGTTTTGTGCATACAAGCATGTACACACGTGCATACACACACACACTAAAAGAAAACCCTGAGAGATCGGTATTATCTCACTCTAAGTAATGAGGAAACTGAGGCATAAAACAACTACGCACCTTGTCGAAGCTCAGAGACAAGTAATAGCAGAATCAGAACCTGAACCCCAGTCTGCCAGGCATCAAAGCCCATGCTCCGATGCCCACACTGGGGCTTCCCTAATGAATAAGTGGAAGGATGCACACAAAACAGTCAAAATTCCAACCCTTTAGCACATAAATAAGCTCACATTGAGAGTGAATAAATGAATGTTTACTATTAGGCACTTAACTTTTCCTTCCTTTTTCTTAATTTTCCAACAGAAAGTGCTTCTAATTTCTCGCCAAAAAAAAATAAAATCTTCTTCTTTTCTGTTTTTAAAGATTTTATTTTTCCTTTTTCTCCCCAAAGTCCCCTGGTACACAGTTGTATATTTTTAGTTGTGGGACCTAGTTGTGGCATGTGCGACGCTGCCTCAACATGACTTGATGAGTGGTGCCATGTCCTTGCCCAGGATCAGAACCGGGGAAACCCTGGGCTGCCAAAGCAGAGCTCGAGAATTTAACCACTTGGCCGTGGGGCTGGCCCCCAAATAAAATCTTCTTAATGGCTTTTTTTGGTTGTGCATTTTACTGAGATGTTACTTGCATTCAACCATTTTCCTTGGTTTCTCACTTCCATTAAAGGAGACAAGCGAGAATAAACAGTAGATATACGTAACTAATGGAGATGTAGGTAGAACTCAGAGTGGTCCAAACAGGAGCTTAGATAGTAAATATCTAAAAGGGAATGTACATTATAATGCTCTACTTATTGCAACTGGGTTACATGGAAAAAAAAAAAGAAGAGGAAGAAGAGTTCTGTGAAAGATAACTGAACTCTCCCACGTACTCTCTAATGGTCTATAGACAAATCTTAGAAATCACAAAATAGTATGCAGTGAGGCCTTCAGGTACTGAGATCTGGATAATTAATTAGAAAACTGCCCCTCTCTGAGAAATGTGGTCCAGCAAGATTCTGAGGTAATTTACAATCAAAAAGAAAACAGATGGATGCAATTGCTAATGTTTGTGAGATGATCTGAGCTTGCAAATAAATGATTATATCTAAGTAGATACTTTTTCATAGAAAAAAAGGCATGTAGATGGTGTTTATCATCAACATGAAACTATATGTCCATGACCTGTTACATTAAATGCTACAGCTTATAGAGAGGTAGGTAACTTGAAATTAATGCGCTTCTTTTGTGGCAAGATATCTCTTATTCTGAGGAGGACAGAAATGCAGCAATTTCTAATTGAAATCTCCCAGATCACCCACCCCATCAAAGGATAAACCTAAACTGAATAATATCAAATACCTGGTACTTACAAATTCTTCCCAAAGTTAAGGGATAAAAGAAAATCTATTTATTGGTCATAAGGTTATATATTGCTCCTTGGCAAACAGCATTTGTCTTTCACCTGTCTAGACATTGATGAAAAGGGAGAACTGAAAATGAAACCATTTGGACAGTTGCAATTCACAGAGGCAGCACTTCAAAAGCAGCTAATGTCTTTACAAAGCGCCCTGTTGAGTTAAAGCAGCTCATTCTATAGGGTGGAAAGAGGATCAGTGACACTTTGCATAATACATGTTTCTGGGATACTAACTGGAGTGCCTGAACCAAAGACCAAGAATAAATGTTACCTCTCTGTTCCTGGGTAGACCACTTAATTCCAGGGACAAGAAACATCCAGTCACTCACTCCTTCCTCTCTTAGTCCCCCTCCTCTGGTCCTAAGAGGCTAGTTTATCCGAGAGTTATGTTGGGGTGCAAGCTGCTCCTAGAGGCAGCACTTGGATCTACCCCTGATCACAATTTCCTCTTCCCCTCCCGGCACCACCCCCCCCCGGAGGTGACGTGAGGATGGAATTTAGGGCACCAATTTTTTTTAAACAGTAAGGAAAAAATTATCTTCATACTAGTTAGAGTATGAGTTCTGGAGATCCCTAGAAAATCACTAAGAAGCCCAGGCAGTTTCTACACACCGGTATCTTTCAATTCCGTAGCCGGTCCCCAGATTCAGGAAAGTCGTGGTCGTGAAAGGAATGGGGCTCACATATTTTAGTAAAGGACCGCGTACTAGCACACTCAATTTATAAGTGTGCTTTTGTTTAGGCAAATGAGCCTTCATTCTCTCAAAAACCCTGTTATTGGTCCCCTGTGGTATCAAACTCCAATGACCAAGCAGGTGCCTGTCAGTATGTCTGGGGCCGGGGCTCCCGTCCCCCAAGGCAAGTTGTGAAATACTTACAAGCTCTGGCCCGCGTGCTCCCGGTTCTCCCGCGAAGGGTCCTCAGGGGACGCCTCCAAATCCTGCCTGTGGCCTTGTAAGGAGTCCCGCTCCCGGCGCCCCTCCGGGGGGTCCCGGACCGGGTAGGAGGAGCCCACTACCTTACTGCGGGTGTACATGGTTCAGAGCCCGCGGGTCCCCGGCCGCCGCCGCCGCGGGAGGGATGCGGGCTGGGACGCTGAGCGAGTCTCGAGATGCGATTCCGAAGAGCAGGGGGAGCGGTTTCAACAGCTGAGTTTCGATTTCTCGCTAGCAGCTGCAGGCCGAGCCCGCCGGGGGACTTCCCCGTTCAGTTCCACCCAGGCGCTTTCCGACCTTAGCGCAGGTAGCAGCGCCCGCCGGCCCGCGATGGCCTTGTCCCGTTGCTGGTGAGTCTGTAAGGTCTCCCAACCACCTTAGAGGATAATAAAGATAGCTATGATCAGCCACGGACACCTCTTGAGAAAGTAGCCTCGAGGTGACTGGAATCCTGAAAGATACTTTAGGGGACTATTCAACAGGTAGCCCTAATTCGAGGCTACTGCTGGATATTTGAGACTGTGAACAATCTATTAACCTTCAGATGCCAGACATAAGGTCAATAATTAAAATCATCTAAATAAAATTTTGCCTTTGGTCAGTCATGACTGCTGTTTGGTTGTTGTGCAAATACTTTCAAATTAAAGGAAATGGAAAGTGAAATTAACAGCAAACGAAAACAGAACCTGGAGAAGCAAGCTGAGGGGTAGGCAGAGAGGATCCTCCAGGCGCCTTGCTAAGTGATTGATCAGACGTTCAAAAAATATTGATTAGGGGCTGGCCCGGTGGCCGAGTGGTTGAGTTCGCGCGCTCCGCTGCAGGCGGCCCAGTGTTTCGTTGGTTCGAATCCTGGGCGCGGACATGGCACTGCTCATCAAACCACGCTGAGGCAGCGTCCCACATGCCACAACTAGAAGGACCCACAACGAAGAATATACAACTATGTACCGGGGGGCTTTGGGGAGAAAAAGGAAAAAAAAAATATATTGATTAAATATCTGCTGTGTGCAAGACAGTGTGCAATGATTCAACTATGGTGTGGGGATTGTTTTAAATACGGATTTGCAAGATTCTGTATCTGTAGGTCTAGGGGTGAGTCCTGGCATCCGTTTATGTTCAAGAGCTCCCGGATGATTCTGATGTGTGCTGGGTTGATCTCCACTGTCACAACGCTGGCTACACAAAGATGAGAGAAGGCTCTTCCCTCGCATAACCTGTATTCTAGCAGACAGGTAGACAAACTCTAATGCCACCGTGGGATTAGTGAAGTAACAAGAGGAAGTGTAAGGCTAGGGGATGCTCAGGGAAACTAGGATTAGCCTTCTGAGTAATTCAAGGAAAAGGGACATTTGAAAATGAGCCAAGAAACAAGTAGGAGTTCACCAAGAAGCAGCCTCAAAGGCAGAGGCTTGTGGCTTGAAATGACAAGGTGTGTACCTAACTCCAGGTGGGGTGCTGTAGCTGGAGCACCCCAGCCCCTGGGCTGCCAGCCACTTAGGAGCTAGATTGCCCTGTTTACATCATCAGTGCTTAGACCAGAAAGACAAATGCATGTTTGATAGCTAATGAAAGAATGAAATTGAAGGGTGGGCAGTGTGGGGTGGGACAGGAGGGGAGAAAGGTGGCAAGAGACTTGGTAGGGGAAAAAAGTCAGGGTTTCTAGGCTACCCTACAGCATTCAAGCTCTATCAAGTAGGCCACAGGTTCTCCAACTATAGCAGGCATCAGGACCACCTGGAGGGTGTGTTGAAACAGATGCCTGGGCCCTAACCCTTGTGTTTCTGATTCAATAGGTCTGTGGTAGGACCCAAGCATTTGCACTTCTAACAAATTTCCAGGTGATACAGATGCTGCTAGTCCCAGGACCACCTTTCGAGACTACTGCTACTGTAGGCAATGTGGGAGGCACAGAAAGTTTTGCAATAGGGCTGATATATAATAATAACGGTTTGAGAAAGCTAGCTCTCCTAGCAATGTGAGAGGGAGATTGAAACACGAGGAGCCTGAAATCTGGGAGATAAACTAAAAGCCCGGTTATTATAATCTAGGTAAGAAATACAGGCGTGAGCTAAGACAATAGCATGGGAAATAGCAAGGGGCAAAATGAAGACTTTCCAAATGAAAGACCAACATAGATAAAAGACTGGATGCAAGGAAGAACTGAGCACCAGAGGCCCAGAGAGAAGGGGAGACAGGTTTTTCTTTGAAACCCAGCTCTGCCACACATTAGCCACAAGACCAAAGACAAGACTCTTAATTCCTCAGAGGCCCAGTTTCCACATCTGCACAATGCGGAATGAAGTGCAACACTTACCTTGTGGAGTATTGTGAGGAATAAAGAGATAATCCACATCAGTGGTTCTCAAATGGAGTTGATTTTGCCTCCAGCAGACATTTGGCAATGTCTGGAGACATTTTTTATTGTGGAGCCTACAAGGGGGCGGGGGGAGGGGTAGGGATGGGGGGAGGTGTGTGGGGACCACTGGCATCTAGTGTGTAGAGGCCAGAGATGCTGCTAAACACCCGACGGTGTACATGACAGCCCCACAACAGAGAATCATCCTGCCCCAAACCTAATAGTGCTGAGGTTGAGAAATCCTGATCTATATAATATGCCTCGCTTAGAGCCTCAGCAATTTAATGGTTGCTGATTTTATGGTGACTTTAAGGTTTTAGTTTTGCGAATGAGTAGGTGACAAAACCGTTCACCACTAACCATTAACCAGGAAGAGGGATAGGATTAACCAGGCTGGGGGAAGGTGAAAGAGTTTGATTTGAGAACCATTGGGTTGAAGGTACCCACAGGATGAGAAATGCAAAAAGTGGATCTGGGTAATCTTTGTGGAGGCCATCTTCTTCAAAATCCTTTTTGCTGGGAAAATACCACTGAAACTTTTGTTTCAGAGGAGAAAGCAATTGTTTTGGTGGTGGGATTAAAATCAAAATTTGAGCAAGGGAAAATCCAAATTAGGGGAAAACCAGCTCTCTTAAAGGAGCTAGTAATATAATACTGACTTTAGGAATTACACCTCGTTGACCATATTTATTTTACAACCCAGCCATATAACACACCAAAGTTTCAAACGTGAGATAGAAACAGAGGATAATAGGCAAAATCTAAATCGCTTACTTTGTTCACTTCTCATTTGGCTACATTCTCAAAGTGTTAAAAAAATGTGAATATGATTTTTTATTAAGTAAACATCTACAGCTCTTTTAGGGTGCTCAAGAGTAGCTTATCTACCTGTGTATCACACGTTCTCTCACTTTATGCTTGTGCATTTGTGTGAGAATCCGGGCTGGCCTTTTACCGGGGTTGTTCTGGGGCACAGGCGTCTGCAGCAATGGCTGGTGGAGAGAAGCAGGGTGTATGGGGAAGGTCTTTGACCCCCATCTCTGCTTCAACAAGAGTACTTTAGCCTTCCCTCTTCCCTGCATGGGACTGCTGCCTGATTTTGTTTGAAACAAGAGTTCCATGACTTAAAAACTTTGAAGAACCATTGTGCCAGACAATTACTGACATGTTTTAAGGGATATGGGAACACCTGAAATCTAGTGATATTGTTAAATTGCCTGAAATTTGGCCAATTAGAGATTCATTTAGGAAATTGTTTTCTTTTAAAATATAACTGCCTCTGGGAAAGAATCATTTATTCATCCCTTTACGTAAGGAAGTTTAATCTAAGCAAAAGACATTTTGGTTGGGGAAGAGGGCAGCTGAGTGAAAAGAAACGGAGGATTCAAAAAGATGTGCAAAAGAAAATGTTGTAAAATGAGACATGGAGGGGAAATGGCAATTCAGGACTACAATGAGCAATTTTAGCTAGCCCAGGGAGCTAAGATAGGATTAAATCAGAAAGAAGTTGCACCAATTTGGTGTAATGCTAACATGTCCAAGTGTGTCTTTATCTTCCAAAGAAATAAACGGAAATATATAGCTGATTTTTAAATTAGTTGCCTTAGATCATGCCTTCATTAGTGTGAATAAATATAGATAGTAGAGATACATAGACTCTTGGCTTTTTCTCATCATAAAGTGTCTCAATGAAAATCTTAGTTTCTGAAAATTCTAAAAAGTCATGCTTCCTTCAATTTGATTCTGCAGTGAGAAGTCAGGTTAATCTAATAGATTTAGTCCGGCAGACATTTTAAAGCTTTTATTTTTCTCTTTTAATGAAGGAGTGATGTAAAACTCATCTAATACTTGGTATCTCCTCATTTTAAGTGTGTCTGTGTGTAAGCATATTTATATTGTGACAATTTCATATTCTTCAGAAATTCTTCAAATTTATACCATAAAATAATGAAATGGTACAGTTGTGTCATCTTAAGTTCATGCAAGAAATATTTATTGAATGATAAGCATATTCCACTTACTCCGTCAGACCCTGGAGTGACAGTGGGGAGCAGAGGGAACCTTGTTATTCTAGTTTCATGTTTAAGATCATCTAGCCAACTCATTTTAGACATAAGGGGACAGAAACTTAGAGAAGTCAAGTGACTTGCCAGCAGTGAATTTAGGTTTTCTGAGTGCAAATCTAGACTTTTACATTTTGGAAGATGATTGTGACAAAATATATCTTCTGACAAAATTCAGAATTTGGAATGCTTTTCATTATTATGATTTTCCCAGTGAGCAGCTGTGTTATTTTCCAAAACAGTTATGTCAAAAGTTCTAAACCTATCGGAATCAACATTGATAAAAACCTTAGCACTCCAATATTCACCCCTATCATTACATAATCAGATGATCTATACAATGACAGTGCTTTATATAGCTTGTCAAATTTTGATGAAATAGCACACACGCTAAATTTGGGTTAAACTCTTTTCTTTAACAGTGTTAAAATAGTGAGCTATATAATGTAGCACAAAGAATTCAACTTAAGAATGGAAAGACCTGGATTTATTTCCTCTGCTTTTCTGATGACAATGTGTACTGTCACTTGGGGAAATGAAGAATGTAGAAATGTGCTTTCAATGATATTTCCTATCTGGAAGGTGGCTGGATTTCTTTGTTTGTAAATTCAAATCTGAGGAATAGAAAGTTGCTTCCATCTCTGGGTTGTAACGCTGTGCAGTAGCTGTCACAAGACCTCTGCTGGCTGCAGGGATGAAAGGAATTTCCCTTAACTTTGAGGAAACTTCTGAAGACTCTCAGTGGCGGGGGAGAAAGATCCCCCGAAAGGGTTCTTTAGCTGTGCTAGCTGCATCAAACAGAAACTCTCCACAGCACTGCCCATT